TTTTAGGAGCGAAAATGTAGAATCAGACCTCATCACCTATGTTGAGTTCAGAATGTGAGGCCTTCTGATCATAATAAGCCTTCCTGCCCTCAGCTGATTTCTCCAGATTTGTCTGTGCAAACGAGAACGCTGCAGGCAGATGGTTCTTCAGGTCCTGCAAATATTGTTCGCTCGTGTAAGCCATAGCGCCACCAGACTGAACTGGCTGGAACTGCAGGCGATGGTTAAACATCAAAGATCTGGTCGTATTAGAGGAGGCTGTGGAGGAAGCACAGCCACGTTTAGGATCAGACAGAAGCATGTGGCTAGCAAGACACATTGTCTGATCTGACGACTGAGACCAAGGATGAGTTAGTCTACAGACAGGTGCAGCCTTACGAGGGTCCGGAGCAGATGTGCTCTCTGGAGAGCCCCCGGTCGACACACAGGTGCGATCAGAGAGATCAGGGTCAGCCAGTAAAGGTACAGGGCGACATCCGACCCCCCATTTTGGTAGGTAAGTCGCCCACCTGAGGTTTAGAGGTCATCAGCGCCAGCTGTAGTGGAGTAAGGTCAGTGATGTCGTCAGCCCCCCTCTTGGTAGGTGGTGTTCCCACCGCAGAGTACTGGGCTTCAGCTGGAGTCTCTGTGCCACCATCAACTCTCCCTGTGGCAGGTGGTGTGCCCACTGCAGGGTATGGAGTCTCAGGCGGAGCGTCACTGCAAGCGTCAGCCTCCCCTGGGTCAGGTGGCTTTCCCAACTTAGGTAGGAGTGGTTCTGCTGCAGGGACAATACAGGCTCTGTGGACATTAATGATCCTAGAGGTACTGGATTCCCTGCAGCAGAACCACTCTTACCTGAGTTGGGAAAGCCACCTGACCCAGTCATTTCATACCGTTACAGTTACTATGGCAGCCTTAGTGATCCACTGGTGGCAGCTTTAACCTTTCTTCTGATCATGGACCTTTTATACTTATCCAGCTCAAACATAAGAAAACATCCTGTTCTAGTTTAGATGATCGCAGCGTTAATGTTGGATGATTTTAGGCATTAGTCATGGTTTAGCAACATTCACTACTGTTTGTATCCCTGCTGTTGGACGTGAAGTGGTTGGGTCATTAATTGGTGGTCCTCTCCTCCTATGCAGACTGCAACTGAGGGCAGTGAGTCACCATCATCAGGATGAAACGCTCTGACGTTTGAGCACGAAAGTCCCAGAGCGGCTCTCAGCCCAGCAGCTCTGGGTAAGATTGTGTTTTACAGTAAAGGAGGCCCGCAGGCCACTGAGGGGGTTTTCTTTTGGTCATGTTGCAAATGATGCGTGCCAGGAGCTTGCTGATCTGCTGAGTGGATCACATACATAAATGTGAGGATAAACTGAAATGGAGATGACCTTGATAGCTGGAATAACTTTGCAGATTTTTTCAATACGTACTAGGACAAGGGTGCAACTTGTCCCTGCTGTTGTCAAAATACATATAGGAAAGTCAGACAGATGCTCCTGTTTGCCACGGAGAGCACTTTAGAGAAATGCTGCAGTTTGCTGAGAGCAGTGAGACTCTTTAGCACTATTGACTTTAATATTTGCAGAAAAAATGACGAACAATCCATCTCTGATCAGAAATATGAGAACAAACCATTAACTTGGTTTTATTGGATATAAAGTCTTGTTTTTTCTGCAGAAGAACATCACCCCACGAAGAGAGGCAAAATAGGTCAGGAAAAGGATGGATAAGGTGGGAGTAGATAAGCAGCCAGTGATTCAGTATCTGGATCTGTGGGGTGACTTCCCTGCAGTCTGCAGTCAGGGAAACGAGGAGTCATTAATTCTCCTTCAACCAGTTTGACCTTAGTCTGGGGGAGCAGTCCCCAGAAAGGAGTATGAAACAGAACAAGAGCTAGATTCCTTCTCTTCTACTTCCTGGATCAATAACAGATCGACAGCTTTGTCTCTTCACCAGATACTGTACGGAGGATGAGAGAGACCTCGAGTCTCTCGTGTTTGGAAAGGAGCAGCAGAACTCATTGATTTGTGTTTTCACAGAGCAGACCCCTTAGCACGTCTGATTGATCAGCTATGAGTGGATTTAAGGATTTTTAGATCCAAGGCCTCAGTGTGACAATCAGGAAGCACCAGAATCCATCTAGGAAAGATCTCAACCCCCTGCTGGTTTGATTGTATGGACAGGGAAAGACCAGCAGCTCCTTCAGTGAGGAGAAATTATTCAAATTATTTTCCAAAGCTAAACTCGTCATTTGTATTTGTTCTATCTTAAGGTACAGTGTGCTAGAAGTTTGTGTGATACCCCAGCTTTCCATTGGATACATAAGCAGCACGTGTTGATGTGTTTTAACCCATTTGCCCCCCCCCCCCCCCCCCCCCCCCACCCCCCCCCCCCCATAAACAAAGATGTGGTTAATTTTCTGTTTTTCTCAGTTATGAAGGTTTCACAGGGAAAGATGTGGGGTTTAATTAAAAAATTTTTTTTGCTAGTTGAGCAACTTCAAATGTGCCTTTTATTTTGAAAGTTTCCAGATGTTTTACACTGGTTTTGTGTTTGACTTGGGGCAGCAGCGCTCAGAAGGTAGAGCGGAGTGTCCAGTAATCGAAAGGTTGTGAGTTTGATCCCGGCTCCCACAAGAGAAGGCTGTTGTTGTTTTGTAGGGTAAGGCACTTAACCTGCCTTGCTTGCTGGTGCTGGTCGGTGGGACTAACCCCTGCTTTCCACCGGAGCCGTCAGCAGCACGTTACTGCAGCAGCACGTCATAGCTGCTGATAGGAACCGCTGTGATCAACAGAACCTTTTCCACCAGAACCGTCAGCAGCGCGAGTCGGCCGCGTCTCAGGAGCAGCATGTCGCGGCTCTTATGCGCCAGTTCTATTTTCTACGCGCGGCGCCTCTGAAACGGGTCAAGTTAGACATTTTTGGGGGAAGGAAAGACAGGAAATCAAGACGCGGAAACAGAGCGAAGCTTTCTGAGATGTTCAGAATAAAGAAATGTACTGCCTTCCGGTTGCTTTACTTTAAAAAAGTTACTAACTGTGCGGCTCCGTGAGAAGTTATCACCTAGCTAGCTGTCTCCTTTGTTTTTCAGGTCCGTATTGGCGATTATAAAATAGACAGAACATAAAACACAAACGTTTTGGAGCCATGTTGTAATTTTCTCTTGCTTGTTGTTGTGTTTACTGACGACGTCACTCGTGTGACTTCGTGCTCTGTCGGTGACAGCTGCTCCCTGCTGCTACGCGTCTTGTGGGACGGGCCAAGCAGCAGCTTACGCGAGCAAGACGTGCTGCTGCAGTAACGTGCTGCTGACGGCTCCGGTGGAAAGAAGGGGTTATGGCGCCAGTGCTCGGCAGTCAGTGAGCCTCAGGGCAGTTGTGGTTGGATTCCTGTTTGTGTTGTGAAGAGCCTTTGGGGGTTGTAGAACCCTAAGTTGCTATCTAAATACAGGCTATTTACTATTTACCATCTACTTCCTGTCTGGTCTGATCAGAACTGTTGAGCTTGATGCGTTCTGGAATCGTAGACCATAAAATAGAGACTTAAAGTGAAAGCGATGTGTTCCCATTCTTCTGGAATAGGGAAAGCCAAGGAGTGCAAAAACACTTTTTTTTAAAGATGCCATAAAAAGCGATGTATCAGTGCTCAAAAATTGAAGTGCCAGTGAGTCAGCAGAAATCTGAAGTGATGACATTTTTGCCATCAAATAATTTTTAATCAAAAAGAGCCGTTCTTCTTAATTTTGTCAGGTATTTTAAATGTATGCATGGGTAGGAAACTTTTGCTCAATCTATCCAGCAAATGTTCAGCTTTCAGGGAAAATAAGCAAATGTGTTCTGACTGAATGACTCTGTGACATCTCTACCATCAGGTGTGCTTTCTCCTGTCCTGCTGAGGTCCACGCCCTGCAGTGTCTTCTCTACGTCCTCCCTCTGGGTCACTAAGGACACAGAAAATGCTGCCCGGTGACCCTGCTGACTGCTGCTTGTGTGGCGCTCTGTTGCAGCGCACCTGCGTGTCCCCACAGACTGAGCCAAGGACGACGCACGCAACGAGACCGGCTGTCTGTCCCCACCATAAGAGCTGGAGGACTCCCCTAGGAGCACCTGAGGGGGGTTGGGGTCGGTACCATGTGCTCAGAACTTTTTGAAGACTACTGCAAAATAGCTTAAGTTGACAACAACTAAATGCAAAATGTGGCACACATGAAAAAAAGTTGGGGTTCAATGCATCCATCATCTTTGTGCACCAGTAAAACAAACAAACAAGCAAAAAGCACCCCACAGTTTCTGCACCTATACCTGCTTATGAGCTTCTCCATCCATATTTCCGG